ATCAGCCATGCTGCTCTGCTCCATGCTGCCATGGCAGAACTGACTTTGCATCTAAATTAGCTAATTTAAAAGTGTCCTGGGCACCTCTGCACCATCCTTTCCTCCCATCTGTGACTGCGTAGAAAATTTAAAGGAAAAGGCAAAACACAGCCTTTCTAAAATCTACAGCCTAGTTTACCATCCATAAATATAGCACTTCTCCAGGCATCTCATGGCTGATATTCTTCCCTACCAAATACCCACTGAAATCCTAGAAGTGCTGTATACTGGAGCTTACAGATATGAAAATCATTGCACAGAACAGAGCAAAGAGAAAAACAGCAGGGTTATTCCAGAAGCCTTTAAACTGGTTGTTTTGGGGGTTTTTTTGTTATCATTTTTTCATTACTATAAATCAGTATTTTTTATCAGCAAAGCCCCCTGCGATGTTGAGCTGTACAGATCTTAAGGGTGAGGCATAGCATCTTGTGCCTTCTAATTAGCTTTGCTCGTCTAATTGACTCTGCCTGGGCACCAGAGTCAGTACAGCTGTGAGCTGACAATGCTATGAGGAGGCAGTAGCAGGTATAGAGGAAGATGAGAAACAGCAGCATCTGCACACCTGGGAGAGGGAGGCAAGAAAAGGAAGGTCCTAGGGCAGAGGGAAGAATATATGGAAGAAGAGATCAGAAGAAATGGAGAAGGACTGACAGGCAAAACCAAAGGAAAAAGAAGTAGAAAGAGGGAGGTAGTTGTCTGTCTAAAAAAGCAAAGAACCACTGGCTGAAGTTAATGAAAACTGTAAATTTTTATTAACAAAGACTGTATTAACATTTCTGAACATGAAATATTTCTTAAGGATTTGGTTATTTGTTATTTTGTTATTTGTTTTTTAAGCTATTCCACAGAATCCTACTGAGATTTTTTTCCAGGTGATATAGTCAGTTTATCAACCTTTGCTGACAGCACAGAAGCAGGGAGGAACCTTTGAAGCAGGATGTGGGAATAAAGAACATAATGAGGAGGCCACAGATAGTCCCAATTTGCATAAAATTATGATAGAAAAAAACTACATTTTTAAGGGGAAACTTATGGGTTATGATGACATTTTCCTCTCAGCTCATCCCGTGTATTCACTATAAACATACAGGGATGTTGTTAAACAATGTTGGGATTGATATGGTATCTACTTAATTCATGCAAAGCATTGCAAGGGGGAATTAATACATTCCCTCTTCTTTCTTGTTCTGAAATTAGATTCTTTGCTATATTAGTTTTCTATTTCCTTAGCACCAAATTCTTTTTTTTTTAATTGTTCTAGATGTACCTCTAGTGAGTGACACTGACAGTGGTAAAAAGCATTCTGCCAGCCAGCCCTGCCTTTACCTAAGAAGTTGGAGGGTCTTAACTTTTTGCTCATATTTTTCTTTCCCCATGAATGCCTTTAGCACAAAGCTGCTAACTTGGTGCTACCCACAGGAAGAGCTTCCCACCACAGCTGCCACTGATGTTCCTCAACTCCTGGTTTCTACCCTCCTGCAGTTCCCTTTATGTCCTCTGTAGGACTTAAAATTTAAAAGCAGTGTGTAAGCTTTCTCAACAATGTTTACCTTTTCAGACTTGTGGGCTAACAGACACGCAGAAACAACCTCCACTAAGCTCTCTCAGAGGCTGGAAACAGATCACTCGTCCCCTTTCTTGGTTCCTTACCTCCCAGGGCAGCTGAACACAGGGCTTGGTGTCACACAGGTGGGATAACAGCATTACAGATCAGGAACAAGTCACAGGCATGATGCAGCCTGGAGATGTCAAGGATGGTCAGGGCGTTTTTGGACATGCAGCCTGACACAGTCATGTCAGCCAAGAGATATGCAGTAAACTCCTCTCTTATTGTTTCACAGTATCCTGCCTAGGCCAAAGGTCCTTTGAGGTTTGTCTAAATTACAGTGGTTGCTTTTTGTTTGCCCATGACAAGCCTGTCCCAGTTGGAGTTACAATAGATTAATGATGAGGCATGACTTTTCCCTGCAGAAACTTTGCTCTTCAGATCCTATCTTCTTTCTTTCTTTTGTTTTGGTTTGGTATTTTTCTCTACTTTACATTCTGTTTTCAAACAGCTTATAGAACATAAATGTATATCTAGGTATATAGTGTGCTTCCTCAAATTATCTCAATCCCATTTTTAACTTTAGGTACAATTGTTACGTTCCACTTCTCCAGTGAAATAGCTGGTTTTAATTAAGGAAGGCATATTTTTGCTGCAGATCAGCTATTTCATACTAAGCTCCTTCAAAACTTTTCAATGTACCATCTGGAGCTGATGATTTGCTGCTTTTTAAATTATCGATTTGTTCCAGCTCTTCCTTCTGACACATCTTGATTACCAGAAAAGAGCAAGTCCCAGTAGGTATCACTCTGATATTCTCTGTGCCGAAGAGCTCTGCAAACAAATAATTCAGATTCTCAGCAATGTCTTTATCTTCTTTAATTTCTGCCTTTAATCTTGGGTGATCCAGCTTCTGAACTGCCAGTTAACTTTTCCTACTCTTCTGATTGATAAACCTGAAGCATTCTTATTTTATACCTTTAGTTTTTTGCAGTCTACCACACTTCCTTTTTATTTCCCTTTCATCTGGTCTTTACACTAATTAATAAACCAATGTATTGGAAAGCTGAGGTTAGATTTTCAAATTTGGAAAGGGTCCCTGCCATTAAGTTGTACCGATTTCCTCTTTGCTTGCCTAGTATTACTATTGTCAGCAACATACATGCTCTCCAGACTATTATTGTTCTTTAGTGGAATTCATGGCATCTGCCTCTACTCTTCCCTCATGAGTTTTCTTAACAAACCCTCTCAACAAGACCAAAACCCACATGCTCTGAAGTTAAAATTTCAGTCACTTTTTTGTACTTTATTTCCCACTAAGCTATTGGATCATATCACATTAATATGTCTGCTAGCAGGTGCAATCTTGCCTTGAATTCCTCCCTGCATATCGCTTAAGATTAGAACCAAAAATCAGTATGTCAGGATCTAAAAATGGGGCATTTTGATCTGAAATTTCATACCTACTTGTGGCTGTGGCCCAAGCTGGAAAAAAAGGGACCTAGCCACAGTTTTAAGACTTTCCAAAAGCAAGAATTGGACAGTAGCTGGCAAACCTGGGGTGTGTAATTGATATCAGCAGCAACCTGGTGGTGGAAGCTGCTTGCCTGCAACAGTGCAGTGATTTAGTGATTAGAGTACTTACTTCCAGATATGAAAAGGCTGCATGAGAGGGAATCAAGTCAGCATTGCCCATCTCAAATGAAGCACTCAGCCACCAGGCAGAGAAGAGGAAACACTCTCCCACTTGTTGGGGCAGGGGTTCCTGGCTCAGAAAGAATTACGAAGTTTCTGGGTTGAAAGGAGGCCTGGCACTAAAGCTGGGTGATTTGGGGTCTCAGAGGAGAGAGGTCTCCTAGGTTTGTGTCAGTGTGCTGATCCTTAGCACTTTATTTTATCCAAGAGTCTAGTGCAAAACAGAATATGTAACTTACTGCCTGCTGCCTGCTGAGACTCTTCTTTAATACGTAGGAAGAGCTTATCTTTCTGAGACAGAACTGTGCAGGACCATTTTGATCACGTTAAAGTTGTGGCCTGAGCTCTAAGCCATCTCCGGCTCACAGCACTCACTCCTCAGGCCCAAGCAGCATCCAGCTCCTGCCTAAAAACTTGACAGTTCTTCAGCAGAGTAAGATGAACTGTACCTCAAGTTCATGTGAAAAGCAAAGGTATTTGAATAGGCTTGCTTCAGGCTACTTAATTTCTGTTATGTTCCTTCCTAAATTGTTGTTCTTCTGTATTTTCTTCTGGTTTCCTTCTGCTGACACACTTAAATACTTATAAACAGCAGAGTTCCTCAATTCCTTCCTTACCCAGCTCATGCACTCATGCACTGCCAAACCATTACTCACGTAGCAAAAGCCCCCACGAAGTGTCAGCTGAGCTTTAACATTTATTGTTAAAAATAAATTAAAAAAAAAATCCTACCTCTAGCCATTGAATTGCTGTTAATGATTTAGAAAGAGGAGTTGAAATGCAGCACAACAGACCTAATCCTCAAATCCTTATACCACTCCAAGGGTGGTTCATCCATCCTCCCGTGATGGCTCTTTCCTCACCGACCACTTTGCTGCCACCGTTCACTTCAACCACAGAGAGATATGGGCAACAAACTCAAAATGGCTTCATAGCAGGACAGTGGCTGCACTTAGTGAGGTCTTGTAACCCACCCAGATATGTGGAGGAGGCTTTGCCTTTGGCATCTCTGCCTGCATGTAGGAAGACCTAATTTTGGTTATGCTCATTCAAAAAGAAAAGAGCTCGGTAGAAGAGTTGGGAAGTTAGAGTTGCTGATTTATGTCACGTACAAAACCCTGACTATTGTCTGGTTATACATGCAGAAATACTCAGAGACACAAGCCCTCTTGCAGCTAGGGAAAGGCCTTTTGCTGATCCCTTCCATTAAATATTCTGCAAATGCCCAGTCTGATGACTTTTTGCTGCTACAGTTGGTCATGGGGCAACCTCTGACCTGCTCCAGATTCTGCTTGATCTTTTCTGGTCAGATTTGAAACCACTGAACCCAAGGAGAGGATGGCAGTAAAACAGCAAATCAACAGAAGACGTCACCACAACCCTCTGACCTCTTGCTCTGCTCAGATACTCTGGACTGAAAGAAACCCAAATTCTCCCTTGCCACCTCAGATTCTCCCACCCTGAGCCGCCCGCAGACCTGCGCACCCCCAGGGGCCCACGGGTGCAGGAGGGATGTTGGTGCCTCGTGCCCCAAGACGTGGGGAGAGTGCACGGGCGCTGAGCGTCCCATCGGGAGCCGCGTGTCCCATGGGGTGCTCCCGGCTCCCCTGCCCGGAGCATCCCGCACCTGCTGCACGCCGGGGGGGGAATCCCCGGCTCACCCCACGCTCGGCCCCAGCGCGTCCTCGCCGTGCGGCGGCAGAGCCGCCCTTGCGCTTACCTTTCCCAGGCACGTGCACGGGGGGACAGGCCGCCCCGGAGGATGGCGCAGGGAAGCCGGCAGGCGGTGTGTCCCCGAGGAGCCCCCGGGAGCGGGAGTGCCGCTCCCCACGCCGGGCAGCGAGGCACGGGCACGGGAGAACGCCTGGCTGTGGCACGGCTGTGGCACAGCGCTGCTCAGGCGGTGGCTGCGGTGAGGGCAGCGAGCTGTGAAGCTGCTCCCCGCCTCGGCGTTACCATCTCGCCAGCCACGCAGTCCCAGGGAAAAACATCGCCTTCAAACACTGCCGTCATCTCCACCGAGGGCGCGGGGCTGGCTGGCTGGGAATGGCATCACACTACGGACCGGGATGCGCTCCGGGTTCAACACAGACACCTTCTTCTCCCAAAAGAAAACGAGGAACCCCAAAGAGTAACATGCAACACAGATGGAAAACAGGGAGGACCGCATTGAAAGATGCTTCTGGGTCAGGGCTGTGCCGCTTCTCCGGTCCAACAGCACCATCTCCTGGGTGGCCTCGGCCGCTCGCCCGGTTGCCAGCAGCTCATCCCAGAGCGTCTCCCCAGGAAGACCCTCCGCAGCTTTCTTCTGCCGTCACCGAAAATGTTTAGTTTCTTTGCTTTCCTTTCGGGCATTATCAGTATTTTTGCAACTGTTTCCTTTCACATACTATTACTTGTCTCTCATGGAGAGACTCATCATCACAGACTGATGAGTAAATACATGAAATACTGAAGAATTCCAGATTATGTATATTTATTCAGCAGTACAAGACATTCTTGAATACCAGCCCGAAAACCAATCTTTTCCGAGCTGAGAAGGTTTGAATATGTACCCAGTCTTAATGGAGCACATCCTCTCTGAAGTAATCAAAAAGCACTGTTTCTTAGAGAATACCTGTATTTTCTTTAAGAAAAAAACAAACAAACAAAAACCAAACCACAGCAACAACAAAAAACACCCACCACACTAAATCTACTTGAAGAGCTGTTTAGAGCTTGGACAAGTGAAATAATGGAAAAGAACAGAAATGGTAGATGTCATAGTATTACTTCAGTGGCAAAATCCTGTGTGACAAGTAGTATTTCAGAGATACTCCTTGTAGTGTGTATTTGAAAGTTCTAAAATGCTTGTTGAGATGACCCTGTAAAAGCTTGTGGTTTTCACTCACTAAATTGTAGGTTTAAGACTAAACGCTCCAAAACTTTATTCTCTCTACAGCTATTACTGTACGAGTAGCAAATCACTTCTCTATTTCAGTTTATATTAGTATACAAAGATTTGAGTGTCCTACTTCGCTGGTTTGAGGCTAAATTGTATATAAAATCCTTCAGGCTGTGAAGACTGTGCTTATATAACAAGCGAAAAAAAAGTGTAATTCAGTGATTTTTTTCCAATTCAACACTCCTCCAAAGCTCCTTTTGACTTAATTCACTGTTAAATGCCAAGCGAAATTTTACAGAAACTCATCTTTAAAAGGTGGTAAGTAAGGCCCCTGTGCAAGCTTTAATTTAGAAGGGACAACATATAACTACAAAAACAGACACACGTGCCTGCACATCAGTGTCTGTGCAGGAGTGGTCTCATGGCTTTTAATGTAGAACTGCTGCAATAATGAAAAAAAAAAATCATTTTCCCTGTTGTTTGCTAAGTTAACTTCTTTCATTGGCAAGGCTGTTTCAAAAGTAATATTGAACTTGGCCCTTGTGATACAGGAGAATTTGATCTAAGCAAGCAAGGAGAAAAAATCAGAACATAACTCTGTAGTAGAACAAAGGGGTTTAGAACAAGTTAATTCTAACTATAGTACACACAGCTATAAAGTGAGGGGTGTACTTAGATATACTGACAGAAAGCAAGATGTTCCGATAGAAAACTTAAACCAGAACAGATTGGCTCAAGAGATTGGAAAATTATATGTACTTGTCACAACTGTGCATTGTACAGGTGAAATAAAAAGGGAAGGATTTTTCTCTGATGGCACATGGTAGGTGGCCTGATCCCCCAATAAAGAATTCAGTAAAGAATGTTTGCCTGCCTTCTGAATAACCACACTGGTTTCAGAGGGCTCTTTTTATTTTCTGAGAATTCTGTAACACTTGGATTCTTCTTAGATCATTATAAACCATCACCACCTGCAAATATTTTATGTGAAAAAGGTACTTTGGAGATGTATTTCTACATGCTACAGAAAAGTTTCCAGTGACTGCCTCCATCTTTTAGGAAGTTGAATTTGTTTATTTACTCTGATTCTAAAGGTCTTAAAAGATTAATATCACTAGAAATAAAAGTCAGCCTTAAAAGGCTTTGTTTCTTCCTGAGAAGGGAGTATAAGCCAGCAGCTTGCTGTCCAGCAAGTGTTTCTGCTGTCTTGTTAAGAAGTGATCCTCAAAAATGAGAAGATATGAATGCTTGTTGATTGGATACAGCACTGTGCATTCCTCTCAGCTACACCCTATGACTACCATGGATTTTATATAGTACCATGGTCTTTCTAACTAAAACCCCTTTGCTCCTCACCTACTCCCTTACTTCCAGAGAAACAAGGCATGTGCAAAAAACTGAATGATAAATTAAAAAAAAAAAAAGTAAAATAATACCTGAATCCACTTAGCTACATCAGTCCTATTTTCTGTGTAATTAAAACCTGTTTTCCCTAGGAGGTTCCAGGAAAGGGCTCAAGTAGTTAAATCAGTGAGGACTTTCCATAGCCATGATCAGGCCATGTCAGAGACAGCAGCACTTCAAGACAGCGCTATTAAATGAAACAAGCAGCATCTAGTGAAAAAGTCCAAACCAAATAATGAACAACAGCCCCTTAAAGAACAGAATGTTCATCTCAACCCTTTCAACCAAAAAGCAAACTTGACCCCACCACCAAGAACCATTAACAATCCAAACCCTTTCAACTCTTTTCACCTTTCCTTAGTGTCTTTCCACCTTTGCTCACAGACTCTTTAACAGGTAACACATATCTTGTAACTAATGAGTGGGGTTTTTTTACACAATCCTGTAAAATATGGGTGTTGAAAACTCCTGTGTTAGAAAATCTGGTTTCTGCAGAAGGGACATGCAAATCAGATTAGTCAGGAATTTACTGCTCAGGCTGCCAACTCTGCTTTTTAATATTACCCTTCTTAGATGCAGGCACAGCCAGGGCCTTGCTGGGATTCTTGGTCCCAGCTCAGGAGAGATTTTCCCTGGTACAATTCCTTTATTTCATGTTTCCACACTTGATTTTTATGCATTTTGTTAGTATCAACAGGCTCCCAGAAAAGTCCTGCCAAATATTTCTAGCCCATTTTTTAAAAAGAGCCATAGAACTCAGTGAGAACATGAAAATAAGTCTCAATGTTGTCAGACCTAAAATGGAGGCACTTATGTATTTCAGGGCATTTAGATGGTACAAACTTATTTTTTTGGAGCAGACAAGCAATGGAGAATATTGACCACAACCAAAATTTGCTAGTAAAATTAATGCAAGGAAAAGGTCATTAGGGCTGAGAAACACGCTTACCTTGTAACCCATTAATATGTCCCGAGCTGTTAACAGATGTTTTTTTAGGGTTAACTTCAGGAGTAACTTCTGGGTTAACTTATTTTAATTTTCCCAAATCAATGCTAGCAGCGCAATAACAAGTCTTTGTAACCTGCTTCCTTCTGCTCCTCACCAGGACCAGTTCCAGAAGAGCAAAGGAACACTAACTCCTCTGGTGAAGGTTTGGAATACAAACAACCCCATTTGCTTAAACCAAAGCACCTTGCATTGTATGTAAGAGGTGAGAAGTGTTAGAAGATGCAAAGGATTATCTTAACTTATGATCTGGTGAATAGGTTGGTCCACTCAGTTCAGCCTTTCAGCACCGGAGCACCAAAGGCATCCTCAGAATAAAATGTAAATAATTATGATAATGGTTTCCAGTTTGGCATACATTCACATGACAACCCTATAATAACAAAATAATAATCCTACACAATAGTTTACATGCATTTACATACATCTCACTGTAAGCTCTCAGCAGGACAATACAGCCAGAATGGGTCCAGAAGCATCTCACTGGAGGAGCAGCCAGCCAGAACGCCTTCCCAGCGCAACACAGAGAGCACAAAGAGCGGGAATGGGCCTGTGTGGTATTTTGGAGCTGGCAGCTCCAAACACCCAGCCTGGATCTGTGGAAGCCCTGCAGGTGGCAACCTCATGCTCAGCCCTGACAACTGACTGACCCCCACAGATCCAACTCAAGACTAGGCAGCTTTGCTTCTCTCTTCACCAAAGATGGCAAGGGCAGCTCCCCATCTTTGCTCTTGGCTGTCCTTCCCAGCAACTTCAGCCAGCCTTCCCAAGGCATGTTCCTGACCACTGTTACCTCTTTGGTCTTCATTTTACAGCAGAGGAATTGGGGAAGGACAAGCAGCAGCACCAGTGGTTTTTCCCCCATCCTTCCCCTTATGTCCTGTGACAAGCTGCTCCTCCGGGGGGGGAAAAAGTCACTCTTTTCTCCACAGAACCCTCTGCATCTCTTGAACCAGGATCCTCGTAGATCCTTCCAGCTCACACCAGTCCCCAGTATTAGCTCAGCACATCCACTGATTGTCACCACATATTCCAGTATTAGCAGTTGCCTTCTCTCATTGCCAAAGAGCATGAGAAAAGCAGATGCAATTCTCTCAAGGAGAGGCATAATTTTTTTCCTCAAAAAAATCAGCTCATTTGCGGGGGCATCGCTTAGGATTGGAAGCACATGCTCTGTTTTACCTCTAGTTTGAGAGACAGTAGATGATGATGAGCAGAGTGCAGAATACTGCCCACCTTCTAAAATGATCAACCTAACAGAGAACTAGTTTCTTAGGGAAAATACTTTCAATCAACAACAAAATAAAGCTCTTTGTGAGCATGTGAAGTTTTACAATGAAAGTAGATGGTGATTTTTTATTACAGCTGGATTAACATGAGTGTTTTTACAGATGTGAAACAGTTGCTCATGCACACAGAGGCTGGAAATGTATGGCTTGCACAGGAATGCAGGCAGAAGTTTCTATACCCACTCTGTGGTTTTGTCACACACTTTATGGAATCACTGCTGCTTTTACTTGCTGAATCATGCTCCAATCAGGCAAAGGATTGATAGAAACACTACTATGTATTTTATGCAAAATTTTAACTAAATGATTAAAAATGAAAGAGGAAAAGGAAGTAGAGAAAGTAGAAAAACTTTCATAGCTTTATTAAAAGCAGAAACTTGTGCTGGAAGAAAAAAATTGCTGCTTAGAGGAGAAAGACCACCTTATGATGCTAAAGTTCCCTTTATGTTAAATTACTAACACATACTACTGAAAAATATTCAACTTCCACAGAAGAGTAAAGAACAGAGATCTACAAAACAGCAAATTTGGGGGGTTGTTTTAATAGATTTATTTAGTAGCCAGACTAAGAGTTAACCATTGAAACAAATAATCAAATTTTCTTCATTATTTTATTCTTTGTTTATTGTGTACATTCATTTCAATAGGTCTTTCGACACAACTAAACAAAGACTTTTGAAATTCACTTATTTTTCTAAACGTTGTTTTACATTCAGAATGGCAAAAACTACTTGTGAAAGATTAGCCATAAGAAGGGTCATTTAATTTGAATTCAAATGCTCAGAATTAACTTTCATCCATACCTAAAGCTTTGCATTTCATGAATGTGGTGTGGTGCATGAACAGAAGAAATCATGCACTAAATCTCCTTGCCTAAAACCGTAAGTGATTGCCCCTGAGTGTAACTTATTCATAGGCAGTGGCCATTCAGTCACCTCCACTGGCACTGGGCAGCTGTCAGGAACAAGCACTGTATTTAATCCTGGTGATATGGATTGCATTAAAACTAGACCATAAGCTTACAGTGATCAGTTTGGCAAATTCTGTGAAGAATGTACTAGTACAGTTTCTCCACTTGCTCATGTAGGCAGGAGAGATTTAGAACTGGAACTTTCATCAAATCTCTCTTGTCTGCAAATTCCAGTCCTGTCCTCCTCTTCCACTGACCATTCACAATTTTTTCTTTCTCCAAAACACATTTTCTGTCTTATGCAGTGGAAAACATCTTGGGTTTCAAATCAAAAGTAATATCAGTTTCATTAGTAATTTAAAATAAAGATCAACTATTGTAGACAATCAACATGAAATACAGTTTATTTCCAACCATTTGCTTAATTCACATGCAAACTGGTTTATATTAATAAAACTGCATTTAGAAACAGCTTGGTTAGATTTTAACCTTAGCAGTATTGCTATAGAGCTGAAGCTACACTGGTTAACACAATTTGTTTTCACTTAGGGAAATGTGGTTAGATAGCTATAGACAATACAGAGACTTAGAAATATTTATTTATTCAGTAGCCTGTCTGCTGCACTCATCCACATGAACATTTCATCTGTAAATTCCATGTTTGAAGACTATATTCTTTGAAGCACAGCAGTCAGGAGAGAAAACACTTGGAAACACAACATATAAAAAGATAACTTAGTAACTAGCAAATAATACAAGATTACAGTAATAACTGAAGCGTTCTCCTGTACTATTTCAAGCTAGAATACTGAAGCCTGAAACAATTCCCACATCTGAGCACTAACACAGAACTACAACACACAAATTACATAAGCAGGGGGAAAAGCTGCTTTGCAAGAGGTAGAAAAGGTTTTATAAAATATTTAGGCACAATGCTTAGCAGTTTTAAAAGCCATCAGAAAGTTACAAAGTAAGAATGACCACTATACATGTATTTGTACAGGTCTGTTTATTTTTACCCTTTGGAATAAAAGCGTATTTCATGCACTGTCATAATCTTTTTTCTCCTATATTGTTGGAAAACTGTTTTTCTCCTATATTGTATGTGACTACACAAGTTTTACAGGCTTTCAGGAAGTCTTATCACCAGGAGTTATACAGAAAAACTGATGCACTATTACTTAATGCTTTTTCAAGAGAAGAAGGGGAATGAAATGCTCTTTGTGTAGGTTCATGTATCAAAGAACAGAGAAACACACACTCAAAATTCATAAAAATATTATTAGTTCTTTTGGTTTACTCCCACCTCAATAAAGAAGAGAGTGCTTTAGAAGTGAACTACTTCTTTTTCAAAACAACAATTTCCACAAACGTATGTTATACAGTGCAGTGGTTATATTCAAATTTTCACAATATCCAAAAATCATAATACCAAGATCACTACATTTACCATGAGCTAAGAGACATTCATTTAGTGTCAGTTCAAAAAGATGCCTTCTTTGACCTAAAGTACGTAAGGCTTTATTGGTAACAAGTTCTCATCAAAGATTTGCTTTATTCCTGTCACAGCACTTTTCTTTTTTTGCTCATTTTACTTTTTTTCTTGGTCTTTCTCTGCATCCAGTAGCGCTGAACGGATTCCTAGTTTCTTCAGCTCTTCTACAAGATCTCCATTCTGGTGCATCTGCAGGAGTATATCACAGCCACCAACGAATTCACCATTGAGGTACACTTGTGGGATGGTAGGCCAGTTGGAGTAGTTTTTTATTCCTGCATAAGATTAAAAAAAAAGTATTAAAGGTTTTCCCCCTCTCCGAATAGAATGGTATTTTAAAAGGAATGCATTGCTTCCCCAGGACAATATTACTGATATTTTCTTTCCCATTAAGGCAAAAATTTATCTACATAACAGGAGCACTATCAGAAAAAAAAACTATGTTAGAGTTATGTTTGGTTCTCACTCCAACTCAAAGACGTGGGTTGAAAGATATGGAGTCAGCTCCTCTACGGACTTCAAACAGGAGCTGGAAAAATGTCGTTTCTCTTCTCCCTTCCAGGAAACAAGCAAATATGATTTCTCAATCAATTACAGAAATGAGAAGTATTGAAAAATACTGATAACTGTTTCCTTTGCTTTATGTTTCCCAGAGGGACTTTAAAATACTTTGTGTTCTTAGTGAATTCATAGTTATACTTACTCCTGTAATTTCAACTGCAAGATATATTCAACCCTGTAGAAGCCTTATGAATTTCAAACTGCTTTATCTTTCAATGCCAGACCTTACAGCCCATGGGAGGGGCAAAAAGGTTGAAGTCTCTTTAAAAGTACTCATTAAAAAACAGAGATCGAACCACAATTATGAAGTACAGAATTGAAGTTTAAAACTTTACTTCCTGGAAAACAAATCTAAGACCACCCAAAAATACAAACTGATCGGCTGGTGCACATTGAAACTCAGCTTGCACTTAAAGGCATCACATAAAAAATTATACAGAAGAATCACTGTATCTAATTTGCCACTTTTTAAATGACCCTTCACACAAAGCCATTATTTCTGTAGCAGAGGAAACAGCTAAATCCTACAACTACGTGCTTTTATACCATGTCCACCAGCATTTGATTAGATAACAAGTTTTGAATTCAACATTTTTATGTATTTTCAATATGCAATGCCTGGAATTTTTCTGCCAAAGGCATGAAAGCCCATATAGCAAAGTTAAGCTTACAGAAAACAGAGGTGCCTTTTCAGAACATCAGAGCCCATTCACCTTGGAAGTCAACCCTCTATAGACCACCAGTGAGCTTTAGCATAGTCATCGAAGTACGAACAACAAATATTAGATCTGTATAGTTGAAAGCACAAGGGAACTTGTTTTCTCCTTAGAAAACATTTCAACCTCTAAATACTGTAAAGATAAATCCCCAAATACTCCAGGTAAAAAATAACCATATAAGTAAATTATGCGTATTTTATTGGAACTTACACTGCTTTCCTTTTTAATAAATATGTCTAAGTGCACAAATATACAGTTGGATTATTATTTTAATGTATAAAAGATGCAACAGAGCTAATAATTCCCATTGGTAAAATACCACTGTGTTTAAAAAAATCCACTAAAATAATAGTAACCTAGAGAAAAAAATGGCTGTGACAAAGTATTCCTATACACAAAGCACACGTCAGCTAAGAGATTCTATTTTGCCTTCAGATTCTGTGGACAACCAATGTTTCAAAAGCCCAAAATAGCAAGTTTAGCATATAAATCAAGGCCAAAGGGAACCCATAACCATCCAACCTAACCTTCATCACCACCTGCAACTTCTTCCTTAGTATTTCATTAAAACTTCCCTCAGTTGTTTAGATACAATTTGCAGAAATTTTAAGCTTTGATGTCAACCTGTATTTATCAATACTTTTCTTAAATGCACTTTGGCCTTTGAGTACTCAAAACTGCTCAAATTGTCCTAAAGGTCTTTTAACCCATAAAAGTTTCAATGAAAAACTGAGTTCCAACATTAAGACATGCTTGAGGATGACCCGACTCAAAAGAGCAGATATGACATAGGGTTTGTTTTTCTTGAGATATTGCAATGCCAAATATGAATTGAGAACCAAGGGCTCTACATAATAAACCTACTGCTAACAAGCATTCCAAGGTAACACCAATAATTCTTTCACAGAAATATTTTTTTCAAGGACCCAACTCCACAAGCACTGATAGTACTTTCAAGGACAATCAACTTCAGATAAAAACAAGAATATAATCAAGCTCAGTTGCTCTATGTGCTGCATTTCATGTATTGGACAAGCTGTTTTAAATGCCTTTGTGCCAGGACTCAATCAGATAACAAACCGAACACTCCCTCAGCAGGCCACCCAAATCCTGCCTTAGTTACTGTTACTACTCCAGTAGTGTTAAAGCCAGTTAGCCTTGACTACTCCTGCTGCACTCGGGATGCGCGCTTGTGATGATTCTTTTGGCAATACAGACATCCCAAGGGATCTCCATCCCCCTCTCTGCAGATCGTTTGCTTGCTGCGCTTCAGAAGCTGCAGCTTCTGCTCTGAACCCTTTGCTTTGGAAAACTACATTCCACAGGCTAGTGTTCAGTTTACAGCTGTGCTAGCACACTTTAAGGTGATTGTGAAACCAGGATTGGTGCAAAGCATCACTGAAAAGGGTACCCAGCACACTCCCACCCCCTTCCCCAACTCCAGTTACCAATTTTCAGCCTCTCTTGCCAGCACTAGCACTAATGAATGATGCCCACATAAAAGAACTGACTCAAGCAACACTCATTCCTATGACACTTTCTCCAGAAAAGTAACATTTTCATGGAGATCACAGAACCATTAAGGATAGAAAAGACCTCTAAGGTCATCAAGTCCAATCGTTAACACAGCACCATCCTTTACCAGTAAACCACATCCCCAAGTGCCATATCCACATGCCTTTTGAACACCTCCAGGGGTGGAGATTCCACCACTTCCCTGGGCAGCCTGTTCCAATGCGAGTATGACTAAGGAAAGGCTGGTCCAAGGGTGAGAGGAAGTATCAGGACCACCTGCTTGGTAGCATCCCATGCTTTGGTAAAGCAACAGTGAAAATAACCTGAAGGTGAACCACCACAACAGTTTAAACTAGTTTAAACCACACTTTTCTAGTATGTAATCTCAAGCATCTCTGCCACCTTGGTGACCTGAACCAGTCTAATGCTGCCCATTAGCTGAGAGCAGGATGGATAACTTCTAAAAGAGCCAGCTTCAAGAAACCTGAAATGCCATGGAGTCCAAGAGCATGCCAAGCTTTAATAAGGAAGGATTTGTGTCAGGGAAGCTTATCTTCAGCTGAAGTTTAGATAAATCACATGAAGTACCAGTAACTTTAGTTTCACAGATCTGAGCATGCTTTTAGGTGAAGAGGCAAGTAGGGGAGTTGTACTGCTTTTACAGCCTGCCATATTTTAGCACAGGGCATGTTCCAGCAGTTGATCTATAACTACCTAAAAATAAGGTGTTTTAATAGATACAGGCAAGAAACCACCAAGCACTTCAGACTTGCCTGAATCACCACCTCTCCAACAGCCTGCTCTTACTACAAATGTATAAGCACAGATATATGCCAACCTTTAAGTAAGATTCAGGTGAATACAAAGCTGGTTGCCAGCTCACATACAGCAATCAGTCTCTAGTTGATGTCCTTGATATTTTCACGGCTAAAGGCTCTGCATCCCCTCACTACCATGCAGTGCACATCATGTTCACTTTTGAGCACCTGAGGCCAGATCCTGGCCTTCAGGCAGTCACTGCTGAACTGCACTTGGCAACTTACAGAACTACAGCTTTGAGCAGCCCTGTCCTCTCCTCTGACAGAGACAGCCAATCATAGCAGCAGGCACATACAGGCTTTTTAGGGTGTAGTAGGTAATACAGATGAAGCAGTACAACAGTCTGCTGGCCTTGAAAGTGGCTGTGTTGTTCCCCAGCTCTTCAAGGCTCCATTCTTGGTGTAGGCTCTGGCACTCAGCTCACAGTACAAAATGCTAGTTCATCTTGCACACCCAGTGTTCCAGGTAATAAAATGAGCTGGCCCTCTGTACAGCTGGACAGGTGCCAAAGCTGGTGCACGGAAGGGAACAGAACAACTTCTTTAAGCACCTGGGAACCAGCAGGATATTGTGCAAGTGTACGCTCCATAACTGCATCCATGGTTTAGCCAAACAGTTTCAATCAAAACACTAATTTCAGTTTAAAGCTCTGGTAGCCATGAGAGCAATAAGCTCCGGGAACACTCAGCACAAGCCCGAGTTCATGTGGAGGAAAAATTTAAAGTGCTCAAAAGGAAGATGTTCCTGCTACATACAAAGAAAATACTCAATATTCACCTGGTCAAGTCCCCAGAGACTATAACTTACAAATGCATTGCTCATTCAAGGGCTCACAAAACCCCCCTCAACCAAAAGTGAAATGCTGATGGTTTGATTTCAAGGTTTTGTTTCCTCCTTTTTAGTTTATGAGTCTGTTCTAGTAAACCATACAATTAATAAATTCAGATATGTAAATAAAGTTTAGAAAACTATCATAATTCGTTCACCTGCCAAAGGCAGTAGAAGATTTACTTGAACAAAACCAACATTCATTAACCAAATATGTCATCACACAGAAATTCCAGTAGCTAAGCTTTTATACCATACCAACTATTATACCCGTGAACTGAAAAGCAAACAAGGACTAGAAAAATCAGCCTTTCAGCTAACAGCTAATGAAAGACTGAATTGGTCAGATGACACCAAAAACACAGGAGAAGAAAGTCACCTGATACATGCCAGTATGTGGCTTTAAAGCACATTTTAGTGTGTTCTGGACAACAACTGTTAATGCCATGCACCTGCAAGACTAATTACTATGTACATGTTTGGGGTTTTTTTAAACTTTTTCAAATAACCACATAGAACCTCAACAGTCAGAAGAGGGAAAGATGACAAGCATTACCAAGAATAGTTTCCACAACTGGCAAAAAACTCTTATACGGAATAGCTAGTACCACTTCAGCAGTAATGGTGAAACTATCACTAAATATTTCTTGTGCAAATGATTAGCATAACTTTTTACTTTATCAAAAGAAGCCCAGAAGGGAATCAAGTAGTACCAGTCCAAGCCATACATGAAATTTCACCGTGCTGTTCACAGGGAAGATAAAACTTGATAAGAAAGTATTTCAGAGGTCTCTAACACAGCTCTGTATCTATGAATTAGGAAAGGCAGCATGGCAGGAAGAGCCTGATCTCAAAGAGTCAGCCCGCACACAGAACTGTGTTCGGTTGATAACCAGGATGTCTTGCACGTGGGGAGGGTCACAGAAACCAAACCTGGGCATCTGGGCAGGGCAACCCCAATGGCACATCTCTGTGATATGCTTCAAATTCCACTAACACACAGATGGAATCACAGAATCCATCAGGTCAGAAAAGACCTCTGAGATCATTAAGTCCAACCTATGACCCAACACCACCACATCAACTCAACCATGGCACTGGTGCCACATCCAGTCTTTCCTTGAACACCTTCAGGGACGGTGATTCCACCACCTCTCTGGGCAGCCCATTCCAGCGTCAAATCACTCTTTCTGCGGAGAAATTCCTCCTAATGTCCTATCTAAACCTCCCTCAGCGAAGCTTAAAACTATGTCTTCTTGCCCTGTCGCTTGTTGCCTGGGAGAAGGGATCGATCCCCACCTGTCTACAACCTCCGTTCAGGTAGTCGTAGAGAATAAGGCCCTCCCTGAGCCTCCTTTTCTCCAGGCTGAACACCTCCAGCTCCCTCAGCCGCTCCCCATAGGACGTGCTCCAGACCCTTCCCCAGCTCCGTTGCCCTCCTCCCCGCGATCTGGGCCTCCTTGATAAAAGATCCCAAACCCCATCCAAAAGCGAGCAGAGGCAAGTCACAGGTGGGACCAGGGGCCGCCCCGCGGCTCCCACATTGCCTACGGCCAGGGGCGTTGAGGCAGCCCCAACCTCCCGAGGGCCCTTCCCACAGGGAATTCTACCCCCACAGCGGAGCCGGGGCCGGCCCGGCCCGGAGGCGGCGCGCAGGGGTGACCCCGGCCCGTCGCGGCGCTGACCTTGGCGGAGGTCGGGGTCCTGCAGCACGTCGTGGGCGCGGTAATCCTCCACGCCGTGCAGCCGCAGGATCTGCACCACGGCGTTGCTGAACCCGCACAGCGGCTGCGCCGGGCTGCCTTTCATGAACACCACCACAGGGTGCTCCCGCACCAGCCGCTCCACCGCCTCCCGCGACCCCGAGCCCGAGCCGCCGCCCCCGCCGCCCTGGGCCCCGGCGCCCTCTCCGGCCGCCTGGCTGAGCGGGCGCCCGGCCCGGCCCCGCAGAGCGGCGGCGGCGGCCCCAACCCGCCAGCCCACCCGAACCGCCGCGCTCATCGCCGCACCGCCCGCACCGCGCCCGCAGCGCCCGCCCGGCGATGGGGACAGGGACCGGCCACCGCGGAGCGACCCTCCGGATAGGCCTAAGGAACCGCCAATCAGCGGCAACACCCAATAGCGTGAGGACACAGCGAAACTCATCCCGCCCAGCAACCCCGCGGCGGCTTCGCCTTCCTAGCGGAGGGATCCGAGCCGCTGCGACCGCATTGGGGGACAGAGTTGTCAATCTATTGCGGATTGGTTGATCCCGCCCTCCCCGCGGACTCGATTGGTCAGACTGCTTCGGGGGCGGGACTTTTAGAGGGAAATCGGAGAGGGGTGCGTGATGACGTGGGTTCCTTCCGCTTCCGGGTGGTGCTGCCGATGCTCGTGGTGTGGGCGATGTAGGGGCCACCGCCCCCGCCTGGGCTCTCCATGCGGAGAATGTGCCGCTCTTCCCCTCCCAGGCCTCCCGTGCCCTCCGCGGGGGGCGAGGAGGACTTGCCGGGCGGCCGCCGCCGCACTCAGCCGCTCCTTTCAGAGCCGAGAGGGCGCGCCGAGGGCCTGCAGGGAGCTCTGGGCTGTGTTTGGGCGCCGCCTGCCCTCGGGCTGGGTCTGGGTCCTGTCCTGCCGGCCCTTTGTTGGTGCAGGATGTGGTGGAGTTCCCTGGGGCCGGGGGTGTTGAAGGGCCAAGGGAGATCCGGGCAGGAGGGGCTGTGCTGGTGCATCGGCCGGCTCTGCGGGGCGAGGCTGCAGCGGTGGGGCGCGTTCAGGTTCGGAGGAGGCAGCGGTGGGACCTTTCAGTCGGCACCTCCTGTCCCCGTAGGCGGCGGAGGCTTTAAGTGGGCAGTTGACAAAGTGCTGGCTGGCTCTGCCTCCCTGCTGGCTTTGTCTGCGTTCAGTTGCCCTGTTTTGGTTGATTTTTTTTTGGTGGGATGAAACGGGCGATTTGTATCACTGAGGAAGAAGCCGTTTGTTGCATGCGCGGCTTTGGTTCTGGGAGAGGAACTCGAGCAGCTTTGCACAGCTCGGTCTGTCCCCGGGGCAGCTGGCAAGGGGTGGCTGCAGGATGGAGAGGTGGGAGCGAGGTTGGGCTGGGTGGCTGCCCGTGCAAAAGGGTGCTTCAGTCGGTGCTGGAACACGGGCAGAACTGCTGAACGTTAGCCAGGGAAGTACTGGATTTGGAGCATGTCCTGCAGATGGTGCGTGCAGTCAGCTGTGCCTGAGCTCCTGGGCAGATCCCGTATTCTTTCCAAGAACTTGGTGCAGAGCATGGAGGTCTCCTGAAGCAACAGGGCCCATCCTGTAAGTAGAAGAAAAATGTTGGAAAGTTTTCCTCTGTGCTGAAATACAGTCTCTCACAAATAACAAGTCAGAGTGTGTTTCTGAGTATTAATTTCCATTGCACCTGTAATATCCGGACTTTTGGTATATTAATGTCCATTTGTCTTTACTTGCATTTGTAAGGAATATAACTTTTTCTATCCAACTCTGCTCCTGTGAGAGCCTTACAAACAAGATCAGCTTGTCTTCAGCATTCAGAAGACTGCTTGCCTAGCTTTGGTTTTTGTGGTATCCAGATGATGCTTGAGTGACAACTTTGTTTTCATTTTTTATGAAATCACCCTCAGGCATCACTTCTGTTGCCTTTTATTTAAATTTAATTAGAACACATTCCAAAGGGAATTGTGCCAAACTTGCACTTTATCATCCCACGTCAATAGCTTATGAAAATAGCTATTTGAAAGTAGATGTATATATGAAGAAATACTTTCTGCAGTTAATTTGAAGGCCAAGTTCAGATGTTGTGTAGCTGATGAACACTGTGTATTTTGTGTGTCAGTTCATTTTGATTTCAGCAGAACATCACAAACCAGGCTCAGTTGTGTTGATAAAGACACAGAGAAGTGTTTGCTTTCTGCGGTTAATGTGTCGTGATTAACATGGTGAAGGTTGTGCAATATGAGGAAAAATGTGTCCACTTTGTGCTAGATGAAACTGCAGTAACTTATGAGGAGCATAGGTGTGCTTTTCTATTTGTTTAACTGTTTTAATATAAAGAGACATAACAAGTGTTAAATGTAACAGCCCAAGTGGTCTGTTCTGTCATTTTAATCAAAGGCTCCTGCCAGTTTTAGATGCTGGGGAGTCAGAGTGGAATGAAATCGAAATTGATTAAAAAGAAAGATATCTTTCTATTCTTAAAGACAACTAAATGCTTTCTTTCAACAAAATATTCAGCTATGAACAGGGCTCTAGTATTTGCCTCCCTGAATTTTGTCCCGGCTATTTCTACAAGGGGATAGTTCATTAGAAATAAGTGACACAAGGACACCAGACTCAAGTGTAGCAAACCCATGTGAGGATATGCTCTTTTCAGTATAACATAACCAACCACAGTTGTAGTTTAATCCTCTGTAGTCGAAGAGGTGCCCTTGGTTGTTGGTACCCTGGGCACACCAGGCTTGCAGAGAGAGCACCTGTGTGAGGAAGCCGAGGCATTGCCTGTCAGAGGAGCAGCAGCAACATGCGCAATATTCCTCCAACAGCTGCCATTCTGTTGCCACGGAGATAATGACTTATCCCATGTCATTATTGATCTACCAACAGTAAGAGCAATTCTGCAGTCTGATATTGTTTGGCTTATAAAGTAATGTCTGCTGAACACTGAAAAACTGCTATAAGTGTTGGAAAGCTGCTTAGAAGTCTGTGCTAAATAGAGGTACCTGAATTTGTAATTACTCACTGTAGTTTTGTGAGATTGGTCTGTGAGCTAATATTAAGCTTAACAGAATGATTTTTAATAAAATATTTAGTATGGTCAAATGCTTTTGGATTATGCAATATGCAGCAGTTTGTTAGTGGGTAAACACTTTTCCCTGATGATAAGACTTAGAACAATTAGCCCATGTAGACTCTAGACACAGAGATAATTAAGTCACCGGGTCCTATCTTCTATCAGTCTAAGTGAAACTTCTTGTATTTTCCAGATAATGATTTAAATCATCTGTTCAGAAGAAATATTAATGGGACTCCCATAAGACTCCTGACAGTTTGATGATGTTCCTGCTAGAAGACCTATTACCTCATTTTGAAAACACTAATAAAAGCACCAGTATTCAAGCTGCAGGGCTCAAATGCTCACTGTTAGTCCTAAGTTAGTTTACTTTCAGGCATTCTGCTGCTGAACAGAATTATTAGTTATAAATTGATGGATTGATGTTCTTACACGGTGTACAAGGAGGTGGACATCCAAGAATGATACTGTCAGCAGTAAGGTTTTTATTTTTGTTTTTAAGAAGAGGAGAGCTAAGTTAGCTGGTGAGAAAGAAAAGTCTCATTTCAGTTTATCAGAACAGGACAACTCTTCGTGTTCAAGCCTGATATCTGTGTGTCATTCTGACTTGTGATAGTGACTGGAAATGAGGTCCCTTATTGTGCCCTAACAATTGAGCTCTACTTAGGCCGGGTTTTTTTGTTTCTAAAGTTTTTTAGTGGGTTGGCTTGAGCTCCAGCTGTTCTGCATGCCAGGTAAATAATTTCAGCATACCATAAAGGTAACATCTGGCAGCACCGACATATCCTCAGTTTTCAGAGCATTATGAATGCTTAACATGCTGCCTAAATTGTGAACACTGAAGACACATCTGTGAAAAGTTCTTGGTTACTTTGAAGATGAGCTAGTTTGAAAAAGTTGTGCAACAAGCAGCAGAAATGTAGAAGTGTTGTGGGGGTTTTACTGATGTAGAAAATCAGGTCCCATGGGAAATTAACATTTTGGAATTTAGGCTGTATGTAACTTCCCATTTTGGATTTAACCTGGAGATCTATAAGCAAGCTTTTTTCTGAACTGGGTAGGTAATTACATAATATCCATAGATTTATGTTCCCAAGACAGTGTCTGTGATAGCTTTGAAATACAACAGTCCACTTCATAAAGGACAGAGGTGAAGAATATGTACAAAATTACCTACATCAGTTTAACTGGTGGGGGATAAACATGACCTAAGGCAGTTTTTTGACTTAGATCGTGTAAGGATACCTTTGGCAGAGAGGGGTAAAGGAAAAACGTCTGAGCCCCACATTCAACAGGTAGAATGCAAGATCAAGTTCAGGCTTGAATATGGACCTTTAAAAGAGGCACTCTTTAGACTTCAAGTTTGCTTCTTAGTGACACTGATCTCACTATGTTCCTCTTTTCACTCTGCTTTGTGAGTTGTGGCACTGTCCTGAAGCAAGGACGTAGTATGACCTCTGTAATAGAGGAGCAGAGTTATTCTTTGGGATAAGCAAGCTGCTTGCAGCTGTTCTGCCTGATCAAAATCTGTTAGATCCTTGTTTCTTATTTGCAGATGGTAGTGGTGCTCAATATTAGAGAGGAAGCATAATTTTATATACATCTATTTACATGCAGAACTGAGAAATACTACCTCTAATAAGAGCACCGCTTGCCTCTTTTAACCTAGCAGTTAGGAATGCAAAAATCTTTTCACGAGTTTGAGAAAAAGACTGGACAAACTCAAGAGAGAGAACTTGATCTGCTAAATATTAAAGATACCATTATGGTGTCAAGTCCTGAGCCACAGAAGGCTGGGACTGGGATTGTAACTATATGCATGTCCTGTTCTTTGCTTCCTGTGCACTCACTTTTGTCCAGTGTTGCAGGAACAGTGTCTTGAGCTTTGAGTTTCCAAATGGTATATGGTAATTTGTACAAATTGTAATTTACTTAAAATGCTGAAGGTGTCTGGCCTTTCATAAGGGTTGGAAAACCCCAGGGCAGTCTCTGCCTGTAAGAAAGATTCTTGTGCCCCAGTTAAGGTCTGTCGGCATACTCTATACCTGCGGTGACGGGGGTGCTTTCCTTGGCTTGGCTTGTTTTGAGAATGTGCGGATGCAGTGGGACAAGAGCAGCTCCGATTATCGTGTCTGTCGTGACCACGAGGGGGCCCTGGCAGCTCCGGTCAGGCGACGAGTGGGCCTCGAGTTACATACTGTGCTAAAGGGGCGGGGTCAGGACTGAGTGCTTGTTGTCTCAGTTACATCTGTTCAGCACTTCTGAATTCCTTACCTCTTCTATATAATTTTTTGATGCAGTATTTTGATATGTAATTTTGAGAAATACATCTCATATTACAAAAACTTTCCTCAACTTTAATAAATATCACTGGCCGTTT